TAAGCTCAGAGGTGACAGGGATTTCTATGTTGCAAGTCCAAGATTGTGGAATGAGTTGCCACTGCGTGTCAGGCAGGCTCCCACACTTGCTGTTTTTAAGTCTCACTTGAAAACCCACTTTTATTTCCTTGCCTTTGATAAGGTGTGATTTGTTTTGATCCTGTCTGTATTCTACAGTGTTGGCCATTTAGTTGTTATCTTCTGCTATTTGTTTCTATATTTTTATTTTACGTTTTCCTGTCCGCTGTGCTTGTTTGTTTCTATTGTACAGCACTTTGGTTGGCCTAGTTGCTGTTTTAAGTGCTTTATAAATAAATGGTATGATATCATTGTACGTTCCCATACAATGGCGAAATTGGCTCTCTGCATTAAACCCATCCACCACCAGGTGGACAGCTAGTGAAAGTGCCTGGGGAGCAACTGGGGGATAAGGTGTCCTGCTCAGAGACACCACGAGGTGTGCAATGATCAGGGATCGAACCCGCACGCACACCCTGGACAGGTCAAAAGTCCATCACAGGGCTACATAGAGACAAACAACCATTCACACTGTCACTTACACATAAGGATGAGTTACCAATTAATCAAACATGCATGTTTTTGGTCTGTGGGAGGAAGCCAGAGTACCCGGAGAAAACCACCCATAAACATCCCTGGCCCCTGGTATAACTGTTAAGATCATTTTGTTGCAGTATTTTTTTGATAAATTTTAAATAGTTATTCAGAAAAAGAAAAATACATAAAAAGTAAAGTGTTTGTTTTATTATGACGTCTTTCTACTATACAATAATAGTGCAAGAAAAAGGAAACAACAACACATATGTTCACCACTAGAGTCCCCTGTAAAAAGTGCTGGACGAAAAATGTAAACATAAATAAAACAAATAGATCTACACATCACACAATGCTTTCATTGCACAAATTTACTAAATTGTGACATTTCAGTCACTGCCCCTTTTTGGACTAAGATTTCACATCTCTATCGCATATCTCTAGTATAACACAATACATTTTTATGTCTTTAACTGTTTTGTTGTTTTTACAACTCAAACTTTTGATGTTCATATATTTAGTTACATGATCAGCTGAGGAAAAATATGCACTGCGAAAAATTACAAACTTATCTTTACGTTTGTCTTTTAGAATGAGTGATAATTTGGTTGCATTGATGGGATACTGAACCAAATTAAAGAATAAGTCAAAAGAATACTCTAATTTTTCATCTGACATTTTTATTGGATGTGTCTTACAGTAACCAAGGGTTGTTTTAAACCCCTGCCAGAGTCACTTAAGGAAATCAGAGTGGGGGTTTTGGGAGCCTGCAGGGGTTCATTAGGAACAGACTGGTCCAACTTCCTCTGCTAGAGAGGAAAAGGAGAGCACAGAATCATTGAGAAAGAAATGAAGAGAGGTAACAACCAGAGAATCAGGGCTACAGCAAACGAAGCAGGGAAGAGTGGGAGTTCAGCAATGACCAGTCAGAAAAGACTGTACAGAAGAGAGTAAGAACAGAAACAAAGTGGAAGAGAAAGAGTGCAGTTGGCCGGGAGTGGAATGAGAGAGACAAAAAATTGATGAAGAGCAAAGAAATACTGTATATACTGCAGTGCCAGTTTATTCTGTGACAGCTTGACACCACAAATCAAACCAAGAAATGAAGACGAGTAACGAGACAACCGTCACCAGGATCACTGCCAATATGCCTGTTACCTATTGGCTGTAGCACTCTAAAGCGGCACTCTTCATTGTGGCTGTCAAACTGTGGAGTGCTCTAAATGAAAACAGACCTCTTCCCATTTTTTCTCTTTGTAGCAGAGGTAAGGCTCGGTAGGTCGAAGTGGAGCTCTGTCCTCAATACACAGAGGGACATATTGTATATTTCTTTCAATTGAGTGAAAGAGTTGGATAGGGTCTCTGTTCCTATTTCTCTCTTTGCACTGGAAGACATTCATCACCCACTTTCTGATAAATGGTTGCTGTACACAAAAATACACATGTGGGTTTGCAAGCCCCCACCACCAACAACAACCCCAAGGCTCACTCGTACAATCTCCCTTCATATTGTGAAGGATTTAGTAGCTCACCTGTGGCTGTGATGGCTCTACAAGCCCAGAGAAGTTAGGCAACTCTATTTCAGGACATTGTTTCTTTACTTGTGTGCTTTGATTCACTCATGCTTGTGTGTAGAACTACACACTCTTAAACTTGAGAAAAAAACAACAACTTCTAAATGTTTTTACTTGGTTCTTGGGAATTGAATTTTGATTCAGTTATTTTTTTCCAGTTGACATGATTCATATGCAGAGTAGATACGTCTCTTTTGGGTATACAGTATGTACTCTGCAGTTGACATCATAGTCAATACTTAGGTTCTCTTAGTTGGTAAGAGTCTGATTATGATGTCAGCTGTATCATAAAATCCTATTTTAAATCCTCCAGGAATCCTCGAGGAAGCACATTTGTGTCAGAGTTAGCAATGGCTACTTCAAACATAACATAAAAAAATGGACTGAGATGACTGAAGTTCTCCTGCAGTTTACATATCTGTAAAAAATAAAAACAAGAAAGCAAATTGGTACCTACAAAGTATTTTCCAGTGGTGTAGTCTACATTTTTGTAACGTTTATACTGTACTTAGAAACAGTGGTGTAGTCTACATTTTTGTAGTGGTATTCTGTGCTTGCAAATGTTATGTTAGTTATGTGCAATATATATCGCGGGCATTTTTTAGCTTATATTACTACCTTGAAATACTTATTCATACAAATTCATCCTGCCAGCACTGTTAAAATCCCTGATTGGCTTAGGGTGCATTCACACTAGCCCTGTTTAGTCTACTTTAATCGAACTCTAGCTCGTTTTCCTAGAAAGTCCGGCTCGTTTAGGGAGGTGTGAACGCGCCATCGAACTCTGTCACGGAACAAAAAGGCGAACTCTGGCCCGGGCTAAAACCTAGGTCTTGGTCCGGTAGAAGCGAACTCCAGCGCGGTTCGAGTACAGTGTGAATGTAAACATACTGGACCCCGCTCCACAGGGTAAACAAACACGCATTTCTCTTACCTTATATGGAGCGTCAGCTGCCTTGTGTGGAAAAACAATATTCTCTGTGGTCTTCTGTCTCATCTTCTGTTCTTGCTAAGTCCATTTTTGAAAAATGACAAAATATAACTCCTAAAACTGCTAAAACTTGATGCCACTTCATTTTATTTTTATTTACAGAAGAAGAAGAAGACTGTCTTCAGAGGTTTTTGTGTCGTTTCTTTCAGTAGTTCTTGGTGCAGCGCCCCCGCAGGTGAGCGGGGGAATAGGTTGGTTCAACAGGTTGACTCGACTGCACAGTGCAGTGTGAATGCAAATGAACCAGCTCAAATGTAAACAAAAGCTCATGAATATTGGTCCCGAACCGAACCGAGTCTACCGGACTATCTAGTGTGAAAACGACCTTAGTGCTGCTCAGCTATTCAACTAAAATCTATGTTTTGTTATTGTGCCTTTTTCATGTGTTCAATTGTGTCCAATGAATATTGTGAAGGAATATAACAAAAAAACAAACAGTTCCTGATACAAATATTCAGCCTGTTGGCAGATAGAGGCTACCAGATAGGTTACTGGACTTTATCATGTAAATCTGCAAAACAAACGTCTCCCATTAGAGCTAGTAAATTTATTTTTTGAACAAAATTGAAACAAGGTAATTAATCTTCAGATAAAGACTTTGACGAAAGATGTTGGGACATAGAAAGGTAGTACATTATTTTGACAAGAGTAATCAGTTGATCTAACAAACTAAAAGGTTTTTGTCGGGATGAAGTCAACAGTTTGTTGATTACAATCTGACTTTTTTGTTTGGACTGGTTTATAGCAACTAGGTGAAAAAGAACCATTTGTTATACAGTACAATGGGCATATTGGGTGAGGTTCTGTCTAGAGATTCATCTTACATCCTTAAAGTTACGTGCTCTTTTGTGCAATAAAGTCACTCATTGGTAATTCTGGCACATAAAAAACTCATTCAACAAATACACCATTATTAAGGCTACTGAAATTTTAATATTATCATGCCACCCACCCATCTATTGTTTTCACATAAAAAAGAAAGAAAACGGGAGGTTTAAGCATTTTGGTTGATGCCAGGAGGAGACCTGACTTATCTAAATAATCAAGGTTTATCAAGCTAAGCCAGCCTTTCAGTGGGCATCTGTTGCATTGTCATTTGAAGTCACCTCATAGGAAGACACCATTCCAATCACTGTTGCCAGTTCTTTCTTTGTTGCTCCTTTTGTTGTCTCACATGAGCCATTTCTCACCATGGGAGGGAGACATAAAGGAACCCAACAAAGAGAAAGTGAATTGATTTGTTGTGTCAGGTATAATAACTAATATTTGAATACTTTGCACTGATGCTTGGAATTGTTCTGTTGAGAAAGGTAAGCTCCTCTTGAATTATTCCCTGGATGATTCCAGCTTTTGTACCTAAAATCACAGGTGTTTTTTGTTTTTTTTTCTTGCTCGGCTGAATCTCTCTGAGCACTTTTGATTGTAAATGACAGAACCAAGCTGAGCAACAGTAATTCTCTGATGCTCACATAAATGTTTTTGGTTGCAGTGTTGTAATGCTTGTGCCACTGTTTTGAGCCTACTTTAGTGTGTGCCCCCTAACTTGGGTTGCCTAACAAACTTGGGTGCTTAAATGTTGGCAGGGTCTTTTTTAACTTCAACACATCTGCAAATGTGGCAGGCAAAATTCATTTAGAAAAAAAGGCCAAAACCACTCTAATGTGTCTCTTAAAGGGGGAAGAAAATAACAAACATCCTCCATTTCTATTTTCTACTTTTTATTTTGTTAGAACATTTTTTTTCCACAAATGCCCTAAATGAGTTCCTTTAAATTGCTTACTTTCTCAGTCCACAGAGTTTAGCAGGGGAAAAAAAAGACAAGGACAAAGACAAAAAAAGATATCCTCAATATAAATGTCTACCTCCTCTGTTTTCTTTGACAGATCAATCGAGCTCCGAGCTTTGGAACCGATCAGAAGATTGATTATGATGTGAAGAAAGGAGTACTGCTCAATGCTCTCAAACTCTTAAAAATTAGGTATTTTTTCCACTATCTTTGCACACACACACACTTGTATGCATGAAAGTAGACATGAGCAAATTGCATCAGAGCTCTTTGTTCCCTTTGCAGACGGGCAAGCTCAAGTCAATGCTTTCCTTTTATTTTTTGTTTTATTTTTATTTTTCACAAGAGTCAACATTTGAACAGATTTTAATCAATTATTTTATTACTATCTGAAAAGTCCAGAATTACTTTGATGCATGTTGCAGTTCAGCTGGTTCTAGTTTCAGGCTGAAGAGACGGGAGTAATAGTCTGAACATAACAAGATGGTTGAAGCTTCGAACACATAAATTACTGTTGCTGTAAATTTACACGCTGGTGTCTCTTTGGTGCATACCGATCATATAATTGCTGAAGAACAATGCTTTGCCTCTGTTGCAATCTTTGTGTTCCCTGAAAAGAAATGTGTGCAAGTCTGCGTTTGTGTCAAGTTTATTAGAAGTTTTGAATCTACATGTTTTACCTTTCTCTGCACCTGAATTCAGGTTTCACGTAGTGATTTTTTGTTTTTGTTTGTTCCTTTGTTGCTTATTTGTTAGCTTTTTTCTTTTTTGCTTGTGTTTACTTTTCTTATAGTGTGATGTATTTCTGTGTATATAGTGTTCATGTGTATGTGTATGTTTTGTTGGTATGCTTTTCTGTCCCCTGGCTACTGTGACTCTACTCACTGATTGATCACAGTACACAAGACCTCTGGATCTCTGCTCTCTTGTTTGCTTTCTTTCTGCTTGTCCTCTTCTTACGGCCCTAAATATAGTCTCCACTCTGGTAGTCATACTCAAACACAGTGCACACATACACCTAAACACACACACAGTACATATACAGCAAATCAAGTACATGCTTTATGGATGATAGATCTGGTTTGGTCATTTATGATACGTTGTGCTGCCAGCCCATGTTAAAACTCACTCAGTCCTTCTTCAGCAGTTACGAGCAACTCTGTTATTCAAATTACTTGTTACATATTGATATTTGCCATGTTCTAATAAATATCTTTCCTAACAATTAGGAATTTATGAAGTAATGAAAGGTAACAAAAAGCCTTTTCAGTAGAACAAACTGCCTATGTTCATAAAAAAGAACGAGGGTTTTGTTGTACTTTGCTCACTTTTTCCATTTATAGTAATGTCTTTGATTCCTCAAAGGAAGGGGTTTTGATGGTGTTTAGAGCCAGGGTTGGCTCTTGAGTTGCTCACAACAGCAACAGTATCAAATGCAATCAATTCAGACCCATCCGGGCATGGACATGGATGAACCTCACACACCCAGCAGCACTCAATACTCAATTCTGAGGTTCCAGTGATCGACTAAAACACATTTCCTTTCTTCCAAACACAGTAACCAACTTGTCCACAACATGCTGTCTAGTACTGTTCATCATAGTTTGCATATGTAATTTAATGGTCACACTTTTATCAGTTAGGTTTGAGCTCTACAAAAAGTGTTTTGCTTTCACTGAGTTGTATCTAATGTAACTTCACCTCAAGCAAATGTTAGAGGCAAATTACTTGGCAACAAGATACAACAGTTAAAAAAATAAAATTTTGACTCTTTTGGTGAGAGGAAACAAAAATTTTAATCGTCTTTAAGACTGTTTTACCTTAATTTTTCTGATCCAGGGCCAGTGATAAAAAACGTAACCTGGCCCAACAAAAGGCAGAAGCTCAAAGACGACTTTATGGGCATGGCTCTATGAAGAAACTCTCAGCGTCTTCCTCTGACAGAGAGAAAAAGCGTCACACACTAGAACGAAGAAAAGAAGAACTGGTAAGGAAGAAACAAAGTATTACAACTGTATTTAACAAAATTAGTCTAGATTTTCTTATGAAGTCTTACAGATATGTTCAATCTTTCCTGGGCAAAACTATTATTATTTTATTTTTATGTTTCTGATCAATAATCAGCTGCAGTGCTTCATCTGCTACGTCTCAGTACAAAATGCTGTGTGCAAGGGAATTAAAGAGATACTTCTTGATTTTTCCAACTCAAATATTCAGAACCAGGATGAGGACTGAAACCGTAGCTGTTAATCATTAGGTATAATATTACAAAAAATCACAAGATCATTTAAAATAGGAATGACCCATTCATGGGTGGCACAGTGGCACAGTTGGTAGAGCTGTAGCCTTCCAGCGAGAAGGCTACAGGATCAAATCCCATCCTAAGACCTTTCTTGGTGAAGTTTGCATGTTCTTTTTATGCATGTGTGGGTTTTCTTCAGATAGTCCCAGTTTCCTCCCACAGACCAAAAACATGCAGTTGGTAACTCTAAATTGTCCCTAGGTATGAGTGAGAGAGTGAATGATTGTTTGTCTTCTTTGTCTCTGGATGTCCCTGTGATGGACTCGGGACCTGTCCAGGGTGTATCCCACCTCTCACACAGAGAATACTGAATATGGACACAACTCAGAAAAGAAGAAGTGGTTAAAGATAATGGATGTGTGGATGACCTATTCACAAATTTTTGTCCCCAACACTACTACACTGACTGGAAGTTAGAGCAGCACAATGAAAAATTGAAGAACCACTGTATAGTAAGGTTAAAAAACATCTGTGAGATCATATTTTTAGATTATTATTTTTTTTCATTTTCCATCCATTTATACAGGTAGTCTCATTGAGCCACACAAACTCATTTTCAAGAGATACCTGTTTAGGTAGCAGATGGGGGGTTAAGGGCTTTGCTCATGGGCCCAGAGTGGGGCAAATGAGGGTGGGGGCAAGTGTGGGTGCTTCACATACCCCACCCACATTTTTGGGGCGTGAACCGGCGATCTTCCGATCACAGGCCCACCTCTCTAACCTCTGCTCCACCACTCCCCAGATCAATTCCGTAACTGGGAGAAATGTGGGTAGGAACCACACCTGCTTCCACCCTCATTTGCCCCACTCTGGGCCCTTGAGCAAGCCCCTTAACCCCCACCATCTGTTCCCCTGGGCACCCTAGATAGCAGCTCTCTGCTCCACACAGAGGGCTGTGGTATCTTGGTGGTTTGTGGTTGCGTCAGGAAGGACATCTGACGTAAAAATAATTGCTAAGTCTTAGTGCGACTTAGTTCGCTGTGGTGACCCCTGAAGAAGGGAGCAGTCGAAAGTAGGAAGAAAAAAAATCTGTAACTGGGCACCAAAAGAGGATCCATGAATTGTTGTTTTTAAGGCTAAAAGTTCACTTGTTTGTGAAAGACTGTGTAGAAAAACTACATAAAATAATTGTATTTCTTTTTCAACACAGTTATTTCATCAACTGTGATAAATAACATCAATAAAGATTCAGAGATCTGCAAAAATTCAAGCAGCACTGAAACAAAAACTGACATAGTTTATTAGTTGATACCATCCATCCATTATTTTTACCCGCCTCTTCCTTTTTGGGTCACTGGGATCACTAGCGCCCATAGCAGTCATTGTGCAAGAGACTGGGTACACCCTGGACAGGTTGCATGTCCATCACAGGGCACTACATAATGGTTCATCGTAGATGAAACCACCCACATAAGTTAAAATGCTTTTGAAAGTTACTGTAAGCTACTGTTAAGTAAATGCATATAAAATTGTAAAAAAAAAAAGTTACTGTTTTCTTTTCTCTTGCTGCAGTCACCAAGTTCTCATGAACACATGTAGTAAAAGTTGTAAAATCTCTCAGCTTTTTTTGTTCTATTGTCTGTTGAATTCATAGAAGAATAGGGTTTACTGAAATATATAGAGTACAAACAAACAATACAAACAATGCATTAGTGTACTATAACTTCAGGGTCATGGTCAAAGGTAGAAGGAACATAAATCACACTTTATTCTTGATTCAATTCAATTCAATTTGATGTCAAAAGAGTTAAGTTCTCTGAGAAATGCATACCGTTTATATATATATATATATATTTGAATTGACAGACTCAAGGAAGCTTTTTTCCCCTCTACATGGTGAAAAGTTGCTGGTACTTACTTTTTAATTCCTCCCACTTTCTATTATTAGACTTTTGATAGCCAAACTCGTAATCAGCAAGAATATGAAAAAGAACCACAGGGGTGATGCTTTAAAAAGGCCACCACCTCATCTTGGAATGCTGTTTTGTCTGAAGTGTGAGATCGCGTTTAGGTCGACTGAAGGCTCCTATCATTCAGTAAAGACATAAAAACCTGGATGACCCTAAATTTTCTGCTTTTGAATATAGACAAGACTGAGGTTTTAGTTTTTGGACCTGAGCATGTTAGGAATAAATTTTCAGTCTTTCGCCCTCCTTAGATGGCATTAATCTGACCTCCAGCTCTAATGTTAAAAATCTTGGTGTTATTTTTGATCAGGACGTCTTTTAACCCCCACATTAAAAACGTTACTAGAACGGTCTTCTTCCACCTGCGTAATATCACTAAAATTAGAAACATCTTATCTAAAAATGATGCAGAAAAAACTGGTTCATGCATTTGTCACATCTAGACTGGACTATTGCAATGGTTTGTTATCCAGGTGTCCAAATACTTCTTTAAAAAGTCTTCAGTTGATCCAAAATGCTGCTGCCAGAGTGGAGTTAGAAGGAGAGATCATATTTCTCCAGTTTTAGTTTCTCTCCATTGGCTCCCTGTCAAATCCAGAATTGAATTCAAAATCTTACTTCTAACTTACAAAGCTCTCAACAACCTAGCTCCATCTTATATTGGAGATCTTATTGTTCCATATTTTTCTAACAGAGCACTTTGCTCTCAGACTGCAGGCTTACTCGCGGTCCCTAGAGTTTCAATAAGCAGAATGAGAGGAAGATCTTTCAGTTGTCATTCTCCTCTCTTGTGGAACCAACTTCCAGTTTCTGTCTGTAGGGCTGACACATTGTCCGGTTTTAAGACTGGGATTAAGACTGTAGTTTTTGATCAATCCTATAATTAGGGTTGGCTTGTTAAGCTGCTATAGCTTTAGACTACTGGAGGACAAATTGACTTCATTTCCTTAAACAAATTGTTAAAATTGAATACTTTGCATTTGAAATTATTTCTATCGTAACGTGATTCTCGACCTGCCATTGTGTATCTGTTCCTCCTTCCTGTTCCTACCAAACCCAGCCGGTCGAAGCAGATGGCCACTTGTCCTGAGACTGGTTCTGCTAAAGGTTCCTTCCTCGTGAGGGAGTTTTTCCTTTCCACTGTTGCCTTTGTGCTTGCTCAAGATGAGAGTTCTGCAATGGAGTAAAACTCAAAGCAGTCTGCTCCTCAGATAAATAATATTATTAACTTACATTTTATAGTTATGAAAGTTTCTGTTCAGTGCCCTGAGATGACTTCTGTTGTGACTTGACTCTATATAAACAAACTGAATTGAATTCAATTGAATTCAGTTCAGTGTCTAATGATATTGCAGTGCTAGTAGAAAAGTGGTCACCTCCTCTCTGCGTTACGTCACGTCCACAATTACACTTTTGTAATGTACTAATGAGAAAAAAAATAAAACAACTGAGTCATTTATGGAAAATATTTCCTTTTATATTCTATTAAGCTCGTTTAATATAAAACAACTTTTTTTGTTGGTACCATTCACTATCAAATATTTTAGCTCTCTCTCTCTCTCTTTTTTTTTTTTTTTTGCTGTTTCTAGAAAGAGCAACTAGCCCAAGTTCGCAAACAAACTTCCAGAGAAGAGCATGAAAACCAACATCTGGGGAATTACAGGTAAGAAAGAGCCAAACAGCTGGGCAAAATGAGCTCACTCTTTACGAGGTCCAGCCTTGCCAGGCTTTTGTGAAAATAAATATCGCTGGCAACAGAAGGAACAACAAAACATTTTAAATAATGTACAAGGAATAATACGTGATAAAATGAGAAAATAGAAAGAAAACAGCCAAAACAAGTTATAAACGTTATAATGATAAACTGTTATCCCTCTCGGCACATTGCTAACTTTGTTGCTTTTGAGAAACTAAATTCAGTATGTAAACTTTGTGTCCCAGCTGCAAGCTATCTTCAAGCTATCTTCTTCTTTTCCTCCACAGTTCTTTTTTTTTTTCTGCTCAAACTCCAGCTGGTGCTTTGGAAGAAACTGAGTGTGTTGATTTCTGACCTTGCAGATGGAGCAGATTTACCTTACAGCATGACATAGCAGGCTCACATTTACTACTTGTCCTGTGTAAATTGTTCTCTGTCTTTCATACCCTCGGTTTTTCTTTCTGCCCCATTCTCTTTATTCAGCATATGTAGACACCTTCACATTTTCAAGTCTTGAATTTTTTATTTATTTTACCTCCAAAGTTTTTGCACTAATGTACACACAAACAAATACATACACAACTGGGTGACACACACTCACCTGTCTTGCCATCTCCCCAAGTCCAAGTGACTTCTTGACTCATCACTTCACTGGATGCCTAGTAAGAATGCTGCTCCAGAGCTGCGTGAAGTGCTGTCACCTCCTTCCTCTTTCTCAACAGGCTGCCAGACAGTCAATCAGGCAGGCAGAGGTCTGTCTGGAGCATCCCTAATAAAGACCTCTTAGCATTCAAATGGTGCCCCGGCGCTGCAGTGAGCTCTGATTAACACACTGCTGCTCATTAGATGACTACGGGTAATGAACTCACTTACATTTGGCAGTTAGATGAAATCTGTATCAGGTACAGAAAAACCAGGACACTGAGACATCCATGAGGAGCCCAGCTGAGAGTTTACAATAGCTGAAAATAGTTTTATTTACAAATAAACTGATTGCGTAGCGGGCGAGAGAAATTTGCTGATTTTCTTCTTGGCTGGTGATTAGCTGAACTGATCCACTTGGATTGGACAAATCCAAACATTTTATGAACATTTTCTCTCGGTCTTTTCTTGTGCCACCAAATCTATGCACTCAAAATCCATTTTTTAAACAGTCTATCAAGTACCGGTAGCTAATTTGAACTAGTACTAAGACATCTTTAATGTGGTTATTTTAATTGAGTGAAGAAGAATCCTAGATAACATGTACGTAATATATATACTGTATATATAAGGTTTAAAATAAAGTCAAAGGAAGCACAAGAGGTATAAAAGGAACTGCCTATGGAGGTCTTACATCTGCTGAATTTACTGCTCAGTAACATGTAGGACGTGGCTTTTCTTTCAGATATCACTCCCACTTAAAATGGTTGCTTAAATTCACATTACTTTGTGAGATCTATAACTTTGTTTTAATATATTAAAAATAAACTAAGATTATTTGGGTTTTATTTGTACACATACCTCTGTTTGATCAGTTGGAAGATATTATTTGTACACTGTCAAACTTTTGTTTCATTCAATAAGGAAGTAGAAAAATTTTATGGTGTCCCTGATAGTTTTTTATAAAGAAATTGGAATCGGCCAACGTCAAAAACAGCAAGTCAGAGCATTACAGAAACTGGAAACTAACATAACCAGTGTAGCCTGATGCATGCTCAATAATCCAGGTAGAAAAATCTAAAAAAGATAACCAGTGTAGAAAATACTAACTAGTTAACCTCTCAGTTATGACCTTACTGTTTTCAGATAAGTGATTTATGTTTATCCTTGATGATTGACAGGTTCTAGTTGTTTTTTTGTTTGTTTTCTTCTTCTTCTTTTAAATGAATGGATAGACCTCTTTTTTGCTGTTTGGTAAGGCACATTTCAGGAAAAAATAAAATAGTTACCTTATCAAATTTTTTTTTTAAACATTTTCAATTGAATGATGTCAAGGCTATGTGCTCTCATAATCAGATATCTTAGATGTCAAAATGTATGAATGGTGTATGAGGATAACCAGACCTTTATACATTGTTCTAATCCTGTCAGGTCTAAGGTAACCACTGAGCAGAGTTACTTTAGTCTTGAGGATAAAATACGTACCGGTAATGTGTTAACAAGAAAATTAGCAGTCTAAAAAAAAAGTGAAATGGACATATTCATATGAATGAGTGTGTGCAGAAAGCAAATGCATTGATAGATTGCAATATGTCAAAAGTCTGTCTAAATGAAGTTTGCACACTTCCTTAACTCAAGGTCTTGAGTAGTATCTGTTTATGTGTTTTCACTTTGATCTCTTCTTATTTCTTTCCCTGGATTCTGCTCCTCATCGTTCTTTTGTTTTATTGCCTAATACCATTCACTGAAATATTTTTATCCCTTTGTTTCTTGTCTTGCTTGCTCTTTTTCATGTTCAACCACCACTCACACCTGCTGTGACTTGACCTCTCTGTGCCTCCCTCCATCCATTTGTCTTTTTATTTTTTTGCCTCCTTACCTCTCTGTACTCCTGCCCTTTATTTATCTATCCATCTATTTGGCAATGCATTTTCTCCTCTTTCTTTTTTGCTCCTTTATACCATACAAACCCCTCCCTTTGAAATCTGTTACTGTGCCTCTTTTAACCTCACATGCCTCCTTTGCTTAACCCAATCTCCCTATTCTTGTTACTTTTCTGACCCTAAATTCCTTTTGTTTCTCTTCTCCATCCTTTATTGCCCCACTCTCATTTGCCCTGTCTTCCCATGCTGATAACCCTTTCTTTATTACTTCTCGTTCCATGTATTTTACTTTCTCCTTGCCCCTGTCTCTCGCTGTCTCTTCGGCCTACAGACGTATTTACCCCCCAGACGACAAGCTGCTGTTGGAAAAGTATGAAAGCCTGCTCTCGGCCGCCTTTCAGACCTTCCTCGCCGGGCGAGCTGCCTCACTTCAAAAGGAAATGAATAATCCTCTGAAACGAATGAAGGCACGTACATCAGTGGCAGACTGTCACAGACACACACACAAACACACACTACATAATCCTGCAGAGATTCACACCTGAACATATACACACCACATTCAAACAACTGCAGAAAGAAAGAGAGGAACACACACACACACACAAACATCCCCCCCCCCCCACACACACACACACACAAACACATTTCTATTAAGATTCTGCCCACAGAGACGAATGAAAATGTGCGAATAATGTGGAAAACGTCTTACAGTCCTTGATTTTTGTTCAAATGTTTGACAATATATAGGAAGGAAAAGCACAATATGTGCTACTGTCCTACTGTCATTCATACTGTCTCTTCACAAATATTTATTGTACTTTGCATAACATTTTGAAAAGAAAATCTAATCCCACAGAACAATGTCAGATTTGTTTCTTTTTTCAGTTCGACACTCGTCACTTTCCATCTGGTCTCTTTCTGTAAATTTCACTTATTTTGTTCTCTTTGACAGTAACGGTTCTGAGTTAATGACAGCTGTTGCCCACACATACTGCATTTTATTATTCTCCTTTTGTTAAACATTAGGACATCTAACATATTGATATGAAGGTGCTCACACATGCATTCAGAGAGTTCATGCAATTTGCCATAATTTAACAGGGTTAGCATTCAATTTATGCAGAGATTGTACACACCAAACACTTTCAGTGGGTGGAGGAATGTAGCTTCTTCTAAACAACAAAGGTGAAGAAGTGAGGACAAACATTAAAATGGAATAAATTGATTAAAATATACAATTATTGTTCAGACTGCAGAGTGTGGTTGAAAAAAACAATTGCACTTTAAAGAGAAGATGAAATACCAAGAAAGAGAGATACTTTGCTATTTTTCTTGTTCTAAAAAGGCTTTTTAAAGACTTTAGAAGTACAAAAGGGGACTTTAAGAGCCAATTTTCTGTCATCATGTCAGTTTATTTGTTTAACAGAAATTAAACAATGACAATAAAAAACACAAGGAGAGCATTGTGACATGTTCAAATACACTGACGATTAAAGGCATAATGGGATGCAGGGACACTGATAAGAACAAAAAAACAAAACAACAAAAAACCTAATTACTTTTGACAAAAGTAATAATGCTATAATTTCATCACAAATTACTGTTATATGCAGCTATTGCAACTTTATAAACCCTATCTCTGGCCCTTTGCACTTTGCAAGGTTATGGTCTGTTTTTCCAAGACTCTCTGCAAAGAAACTTTGTAGAGATTTCAATCATAGATCCGGCTGAACCCAAACATCCAGATTTTTTTAAATTTAGCCTGCAGAGACATGCAGATTTTGTTCAAAGCAGTAAGGTAGAGAAGATGAACTCCACTGTTTCCTATCTAGTCAATCTGAGTACCAACTGTTCTCTTTAATGGGCAAAGTCTGAGATCCTGATCTAGACCATCTATGAGAAAGAAGGAAGGTTCCTGAAGTTCAGAATGATAATCATCAGATCATGAATATTTAATTTAGAAAATATATTTATTCATGTTTTAAAGCATTATGCATTGCTTTCATTTACTTTGTTGCAGTGATTTTAGAACTGCACATTCACAGTGAAAACTATAGAGTTATCTTGAGATCTTGGTAAACTCAGATTGTACTTTATTATGTCTGAATATTGTTACATGTTTGAGACAATCAGGTTTATTTAGCCAGTAGCTATCTCACTTGGTTGCAACTGCTGGTCACCAGTTGGTGAACATTTGTGAGGGATTCACCAAAATTCCTCAAAAGGTTCTCACTTTCTACATGTGAATTGCAGAGCTGTGAAACAAAACAACACTGTAATTTTAAACACGTTCAATAAAATTGTGCAACAATCTTTCTCTCAAAATAGTCACAGAACTGTCAAAGGTGACTTAAACTAGTTTCAGTTTTGTCTCTGACCTGTCTCAAGAGTGCAAGAACTGCATTGTGACAGTTCTTCTCTCACAGAAAACGTGTAAGTCTAAAAACAATGGCAACGATACTGATTGAATGAACATGAATATTGAAAAACTGGTCCATATCTGCCTATCTTAATTTTAAAGGTGTACTCCAGTAGATTAAATCATGAACTTTGGGTGCTATCAAGGTGGGTAAAAGCAAGCTGGGCCTGGTATGATATGGGTGGAGGTGTACAACACAACAGTAAGCTGTGATTTTCAAAAACTGGTTGCATTTACAGCCAACTGGTCACTTGGGGGCAAACACTCAGAATCAAATGAAACTCCAAATGATTTAAAAAAAATTTGTTCAGAAATTCAGAAGTAGTTTCTGATAGGGATGTATCGATCCACTTTTTTTTTTTTTTTACTTCCGATCCGATCCCGATACCTAAATCTGCATATCGGCTGATACCTTTCCGATATCATCATCATTATTGATTTTATATGAGACTGTAATAATCTCCTCTCTACAGGCAAATACAATTTGTACAAAGATATGCATGCATGTCCAAAAAGGCAACTTGAGATAAGTTGTATTAATGTTGGACAAGTTTCAAAGTTAGAATTAAATTCTGCTAACAGAAAACATTTATTTTTTTTAATTCCTAGCTGTAACGTGGATATTAAATTGATTAATTTAAGTGATTGTTTAAAGTTATTTTATATTGTTTTAAATAAGGGGCATATATAAGAATTTTTTTCTTCTTTCTGCACTCTTTTCATTCAATGTTTTCTTTTTGATGAATTTGTTTTATTTTGTTTATTTTAAATGAATGAATAATTTAATTAAATAAAGTAAAATAAAACAATTAAATGGCTTTAAACATCTGCTAAGTTCATGGCAAAAACCAACAGACATGTTCCTGTTTTTAGTATTTTACATCGCTTTATAATGTAGCTGTTTTTGCTTTGTTTTTATATAATTTCTTCTA